ATCCATCTATTAGCATGCAGTGTTGAAGCAGTTCTTCCAAATTGGCTCATTAACTCATTTCTCAGTTCATCAGCAAAACTGGTCTTAAAACTGGCCAGGGCACAGTCATTCCTTGCTATGTTTCTGTCAAATAATTGAAATTTTGCAATGTATTCATGAATCTCCCTGGTTGCTTTGTTTTAGCTTGTGAATTTCTCAGTTTGCCATTGCTCTCCTAACTGAATCCTCAAATGCAACTCTAAATCTTTGCATGAAGTTCTGGTAATTGTACAGTAAGGGGTCATTGCCTTCAATTTGACTGCTTCTTCTTTCAGCAAGGTTAGAACAAATGTCACCTTGGAATGATCTGTAGGAAGTTCTGGTGACCCACCATAAACAATTCAAACATCATAAAATGGTCCTGGTCTTGTCCAAGCCTCTCTGGCAAACTCCCACGGTAGTGATAGTGAAGGAATATTGGCTAGCCTCAACTGCTGTGTTAATTGTACAATGGCACTGTCCAGGTTTGTTATTTGTATAGCCACTTCCTGCTGATGTCATAACAATGTTTGAGCAAGTTGTTCTATGACAATGAGGTAGCCTACAGATCTGAGGGCATCTCCATGATCAAAGGGAAGTTTCAAAGCATCTCTGATTAGACAGCAGTGAAGCTTTCAAGATTGATGTTGGAACTTCAAGGTAAGTTAGGTCAGGAAACAAATTCTACAACAGTGCTATAGGTGCAGGGTGTAATAACAGACTATGGAGAGCTTGACAGAGATTCTATTCCCCATCTCTTGTACAAAGAAAATAAAGGTGGGATATTCTTGACTTTCTCCCTTTCAGAGCTAATTGGTATTTATAGCTGTTGAATAGCTTCAAGGCCATCTCCAGTTTTTCCTTCAGCAATGGACAAATAATGATGCAGGCATTTTTAAATTCTCTTTCCTATTGTCAAGCTTTTAGAAGCCTCATGTTCCCACAAAGAAGAGGAAAAAGTTTTACAAACAATATTGCAATATTTTCTCTGAGTTTCACAAATAATTAGAAATGCCTTTTAGACTCATTGTCTTCTAGCATAATCAGAATGCATTGTAGGAAGCTAGATTATACCAGATGTTTTAACATTGTAAAGATGCAGTGAATGGGGCAATGTCCAGACAGTGAAAGGAATAAAAGAAAATTAGGTCAGTTAATAGAATGCAGGAAAAAGTGTATGTGCAAGATTGTAGTGTAGAAATTGGTTGGCTTTCTTTTTTCATTTTAGTTTGACTTAGAATTTGCATTTGAATAGCTTGTGATCTGTTAAATGTCTATGGAGATGCTCAGTTATCCAGGTCATAGTTATCCCAAAGATGCTTTTTCATGAAGCAACTGGACTTTCTTCATTTTCTTCAAAGAGGTTTCACTTCTCACCCAAGAAGCTTCTTCAGCTCTGACTGGATGGTGGGGAATGGAAGGATTTATATTTCTTGCAGACAGCTGGTCATTTGCATTCTTTTAGAGAGTTGTTGGTGCCACCTGGAGGTTTACCTGGGTCATCAGGGTCATCTGAGTAGTGCAAATGGCTGTGGAGCTTTCTTGGAACAGTTGAAAGAACTCTGTTGTAGACTGACGATAGATGATATCATATCCCTCCTCTTCTGTTGAGACAGGGCTGTTCAATTTTGACCCAGATGGCCTCTTTGACCCCTCTTTCAAACCAGCGGTCCTCTCTGTCCAAAATGTGAACTTTGCTGTCTTGAAAAGAGTGGCCTTAGCCTTTTAAATGCAAATGGATTGCTAAATCTGGTCCTGATGGTTTTGTTCTCCACTTCATAAACACATGGCACAACATAGGAGAACAAACCCATCAGGACAAGATTCAGCAGTCCATCTACATTTAAAAAACAAAGACCACTCTTTCAAAGACAGCAAAGTCCACATTTTGGACAGAGAGGACCGCTGGTTTGAAAGAGGGATCAAAGAGGGCATCTGTGTCAAAACTGAACAGTCCTCTCTCAACAGAGGGGGAGGGATAAGACATCATCTATCTTCAGTCTACTACAGAGTACATTCAACAGTTCCAAGAAGGCTCCACAGCCATTTACACTACTCAGGTGACCCTGACCATACAGACAAACCTCCAAGTGGCATCAACAACTCTCTAAAAGAATGCAAATGACCACCTGTCTGCAAGGAGTATAAATCCTTCCATTCCCCACCATCCAATCAGAGCTGAAGAAGCTTCTTGGATGAGAAGCGAGTCCAGTTGCCTTGTGAAAAAGCATCTTTTGGATTTGTGATCTGTTCCACCGTCAGCTCCTGGGCATGTTTAATGCTATAATTGAGCTCTTCCACTTTCTTTTAGAAACTATATGGTCAATTTGATATTTAATGATGTTTCTATATACAAGCATTGTTTTGTTTGTTAAGACTGTGTTAGCTATGAACAAATCTTTGGAGTGGCAGAAATTGTTCAGCTGATCTCTTACTTCACTTTGTTCTCCTAAACCATGCAATCCAACTATATTTTCCAATTTCATGTTCTAACTTTGGCATTCCATTTTCCAATCACAAGTTGCAAATCTTGCTTGCATGTTCTGTTGATTTCAATTTGATCATAAAAATCATCAACTGCCTTTTCTTTTGCATCAGTGGTTGGAGCATAAACTTGAATGATCGTCATATCTTTAACAGATATATCTGTGAAGTGTAATCAATATTACTTGGTCACTGATTGCATTGTAGCCAAGTACAGTACTTTTCTTGATATGCTCTTCTTAGCTATAAAAGCAATATTGTTTCTTTTTCATTTCTCATCCTTGATAATAAATGGTGTGAACTTCTAACTGAAAATGTTCAATCGTCATCTCAATTCACTGATGCATAAAAAATCAATTTGTAATCATTTCATTTTATTTATCACTATGCTGAGCTTTCCTGTAATTATGCTTCTTATGTTTCCTGTTTCTATTGTAATTCTATCTTTGCAACTTTGGATTTTCTTTTTCTATATAGCAACATCAGCAACTAGACATCCTGAAGGCTTAAATCTAGCCATGTCATAATCATTAACCATGGAAACCAGTGATATATTTATTATATTTGTGCTTTTATACAACTTACTAAGCAATAAAAATTAATAGATGTTGTACAAAAAATAAAAGTAGCATACGTCCTGCTCATAGGCCTGCTTTCATTTATACTCTGATCCATAAAGACATAGAAAATTGGATCCACTTTCCTACAATCAACAATTATTAGTATCAAGAATTAGTACACAGATGCCATCTTTACTCAGCTATGGTCATCCATATGCTCCTTCCCAATCAAATATATATACCATACAGTGAAAAAAGAATCAGGAAAAAAACAAAGAAACATAATCCTACAAACATTTCAGAATCAGAAATAGGAACAATCTACCCATTTTCTTCTCACATCTCAGCATCTAATGCAGTGGTTCTCAACCTTTTTAATGCCGCAACCCCCAACCGGTCGTAAGTTGAGGACTAAACCGGTCGTAAGTCAAGGACTAAACCGGTCGTAAGTCAAGGACTACCCAACCGGTCGTAAATCGAGGACTTTCCCTGCCCAGGAGCACCGCACATGCGTGGTGCCACCCTCTGTGCCGGCCGAGGCGTAGCTCGCAAGCGGCAGAGACAGAGCAGGCCGACCACCAGCTGGCCCGGCCCATGGGAGGTAAGGCACCCGTCGGAAAAGGGAAAAAAATATGGCGGACAGCCTTGCTTGGTAACCCCCGTGAAATGGTCGATCAACCCCAAATGGGGTCGCGACCCATAGGTTGAGAACCGCTGATCTAATGGAATGATATTAGATGCATTATTTTACTTAATTTATATCCTTACCTTTACTTCTAACAGGACACAAAGGCACTATTGAACTATGAGCAATAACTCAGTACTATTTCTCCTTTTACTGCAAAGGCTGGTCAAACACTGTAATAAAGATATTTGATTTGGGTTTTTTTTTGTTTGCCCTAAAATGGGTTTATTATGGGGAATCATTTATACTCCATCCAGGTTTAGTTAGGCTTCCCTTGTCCCCATTCCCTGGTTCTTAAAACTTCTATCAGATATTGATTAGGCTGTTTTGCTGTGCTCTAAAAAAATTCCCCATTAATGCCAGATCTCTCAGATAATTCAAATAATTTAAGCTTTAAGCTTTATTTGGAATTGGCTGCTATTGGATATAGGTGCTTGTTGCTATTATATAACAAAATGTGCTTGTGACTTATAGAAGATACCAGTTCCCTATGCTCTGCAGTCTACGTTTTGCAGTAGAAAGATTTTATGTTCAGAATTCAAGTGATTTCATTTTCTAATAACAACCCCATTTTATCAACTATACTGATGTTCATACATTCTTACATCTTTGCTCATATGCATGCATGTTTATGTTATCTAAAAGATCCATATAGTGTGTTATAAGGAAAGCCTGTCTGAAATAACAGCAAATAATGCTACAGTTTGGAGTGCTTAAATTCAGTTAGTAAGAAACTTGAGGAAAAGAATACCGTAAATGCCGGCGTATAAGACGACTTCCACGAGTGCTGAAATCGGCGCCAAAGACGGGGGTCGTCTTATACGCTGAGTCGTCTTATACGCCGGAAATACTGGTAGTTTCCGGCGTATAAGACGACGTTCTAGGAATGCGGCCCGGCTATAAAAATTGGGATCATCTTATACGCCGGGTCGCCTAATACGCCGGCATATACGGTACATGTATGTCAATTTATTATGAAGTTCACTGATGAAGAATGGGATTCAAAGGTCTTAACTTTCACATCATGATGTGCAAGATATTAATAATGCCTCCTTTCTATATCAAAACATAAGATAATTCTCCACCGGCTTAAGTCAACGTATACATTATTTACCACAGAACTTCTCACTTTCTGAATTACAGCTAATTATAGCACCATTATGTAGCTTCTTTTACTGACCCTTAACATAGAGTACAACTTTCCAGTTCATGGCAAAAAAAACTTCTTAGATAAAGCATAGTGCTAAACTCACATAATAGAGGAGGTTAGTCCACCCTTCCATGGTGATACACTGGAAGACAGTCAGCACAGCGAAAAGGATGTTATCAAACTGTGTAATCCCGTAGTTGGGTCCTTGCCAGTATTCTTTACACTCAGTCCCATTAGGGCAGAGGCGTGATGGTGATTCCTTCCCACATGGAGCTTCTTGCATGATTTCATCTGGAGAGGGAAGAAAAATGGGACTCTAGTAGACTAGGACAGGCAGATAAGCAACTGCAGGAGGCAGAAAAAATGGTGGTATCACTTGCCTTGAAACAGCATCGGCTGTTCTTCAAGAAGTCCCTTCCTCCAAAATTATGGCTCAGGGTACTCATACAGACACATTTCCCCCTCCATGCAGTGCTTTTTCAGATGCTGTACAGCCATATAGAAAAGCAGAAACCAGCATGGTTTGGGTTTAAATTCTTTGCTCCTCCAAGGAAAGCACAGGGACTGCCCAGATGTATTTTTCAAATGATACAGGCTACTTGCCTCCATAACTAACACTGTTTCCCCCCTCAAGTCCGTTGTTTCCTGACTTTTGATGGGCTACCCACCTTTGTTTTGCAACCTGATGTAGTTAAGAAGCTTGCTTGACTTAAAAAAAAATAATAATCCTCTGTATTTAGGCAGTGGAGAGAAAGCAAGAGTGTTTTGTGACACTTGCCTACTGGTGGTCTGCAAATCTATTCTGCTTGACACACTGGCAGATATTACGAACATAGGAAGCTGCCTTATATCAAACTCTGTACTGTCTATTCTGATGGGCAGCAAATCTACAGATCAGAAAAAAATTGTGTCACAAGTTCCTTCTTGAGTATTTAATATTGCTTTTTTAAAATGCATCTCCTAAACAAAATGATATAAAAGAGTTACAAAATGTGATGGCAGCACAGTACATACTGAAATGGCTCTGTTTCTACATACATTTGTACATATATCCTCAATTAAAACATAGCTGATAATGTACATAAGTCTATATTTTCAGTCCACAGTATGTTCAAAGTTCATTAGGGCTGAACAACACACACTTTGGGGTTTGATTCCCAAAAGTTACTTGAGAATCTACAGAGGTGCAGATAAAGAACTCAAAGGATTTGTTGTGACACTATGCAGCTCTAAGGTACATTACTGTTGCTAACACAAATTGATTAAATACCATGTTTTCCTGAAAATAAGACCCAACTGGAAAATAAGTCCTAGCATGATTTTTCAGGATGCTCATAATATAAGCCCCACCCCCAAAATAAGTCCCAGTTAAGATCATCAGCCCGACGGATACATTTAGTACCATATTTCCCTGAAAATAAGACCTAACCAGAAAATAAGCCCTAATGTGTCTTTTGGAGCAAAAATTAATGTAAGACCCAGTCTTATTTTCAGGGAAACACGGTATATACAAAATATAAAGAGAGGTAACACAGAAATTGTCAAGAAATACTTAGTCCAAAAAGTGTTTTTTAAAAAGGCAACTGGACTTTGTTGAAAACAAGCAAAGTCCAGTTGCCTTTTGAAAAAGCACCTTTGGGACAACCATGACCTGGATGACTGAGAATTTCCATAGACAAAAAGTACTTAGATTCGATTTATAAAAGAAAGTATAGATTTATAAATTTGTATTGTATGCAGGGAGTAGCTCCCCCCCTTTATTTGTTGTTGTGACAACATATAGTTGCTCTAAACAATAGAAGCTATCAGTCTTTCTTAAAATGAGTTCACATGAAGAAAGTTTGAGATGCCCTGTTGTGACACTATATTTCATTCATAATGTGACTGTTTTTTTTTCTTAGCATATTTTATGAATCCATCAGTTTTCTGGGATCAGTTTCTGCAGAAACAGAACTGTGTTTTTCTAAAGCTAACTGTTCAGGGAATGTTGTGCGTAAATATAAAAAGTGATTAACCATGTGGCCTGTCTTTTGACTTACATTCCTCTTACATAGCTTATATTTCAAAGTAAATATGGTTGATAATTCAACAATTATATAATGTTTTTAACCATGATATGCTAAACAATGCATCATGGCCTAGCTCATACAGTCATTAACCATGGTTTATAGTTGGCATCATAAATTGTACTAAGCCAAAACCAAACAATTTGCATTATATCTTAGCACAATGTTTGAACCTTATATTAATAGTTCATTTATTTTAACAGAGATAACATTTGTCAAGTTACTTTTTTCCATTTTTTTTAAAAATAATCAGCTCGACTAACTTTTTTGAATTGGGCAGCTGGTAGAGAAGAGAACATAAATGCTTTTTACCTACCTGTATGAATATCCTTGCAGGCGGTGTGAAATTTCCCCAAATAAAATTCTAACCCTATGATTGCAAAAATAAGGATTGCAAAAAATAGGAGGAGGCCAATTTGTAGCAGAGGTATCATGGCCTTCATTATGGACTTAAGGACAACTTGTAAACCTGTAACAAAAGACAGAGCATCATCAGAGGATAGATTTAAAGCATACCTAGCAGCGAACCTTATTGCAGTTTTAACATGATACAGAGAGAATTACACACTGCTCCCTACTTTTTTTATATTCTTCATTCTTCTTGACAAGGCATGTGAGGCCTATAAACCTTAAAGCAGGAGAAAAAGGCAAACTGTTCCATGTACAACCTCGAGTTATTGTGTCAATTCTTTTATTTGATGACAGGCCAAGACCAATAATTTAAGATTTTTAACAAAAGACTCTAACAAGTAAGTAGCAATCAGAAGTGTCAAAGCTTCCTATATTTCTAAATTATGATGATCTATTAAAGTCCATTTTGATAATTATTTTGTACTAGGATAATTTCTATCCATGCAATAACTTAATCCCCTTATTTTTAAGAGGTCACATTTGGCCAATTTTGCCAGGGCTCAAAAGGATAAGTAAGGCCAAGCATAGTTAATATTTGGACAGGAGTCCCCCAGCAAATTCCAGGCTGTTGGTTAAACTGCAAAGTAAAAAAAAAAAAAAAAAGACATTCTGGAAGAAGGGAATATTCATATTGTTGTCAAGTAAAACTCAAAATCAGGGTGTCTTTATCTTTATCATGGAAATAGATTGGAGAATCAAAACATTTTAGACACTTCTCTAAATATATATCAATATAAATAGATATGGCTCAATGGCTTAAAAAGAAATGGAGATGAGTATTGCCCCTAAAGTCGGCTATTAATGGCAGAATAAAAGCGCAGGGACTCTTTTACCTTTATAATCATATGTGAATATATATATGAAGTTTGGAAATATTATATACTTATATATATACTTTGTATGTATAATAAACCCACCTTTGTCTGAATTCTGTTTTTTGTATATGGAAACAAATGAATATAGTGATAGTACTCTGGGTTGTGTCTTTTAATCCTACTGCATTTAATGGGGCTTGCTCTGGAGAAAGAGGACTATAGCCTGAGACTCATAAAGAGAGGACAGATACTTTGATTAGGTAATGGATTCCATGCAGAGGCTTAAAGTAAAATATGGAATTTCCAGTGGATGGTGACAGAATTTAGTAATTAAATTGTTAAAAGACAAAATATAAGCTAATTACTAATCTATATGAAAATGGTAAACTGACTGTAATCCAAGATAGTTGTTGTTTAGTTGAAAGATATTAATTAAAAGCTACTCACTTGGGATTCCTGACACTAACTTTAGCGGTCGGAGTACACGAACTGCTCGCAAAGTCCGCAAGTCAAATTCGGTACCAACTGTTGACAAGATGCTGTAACATTAAAAAAAGAGAGAGAGAATGTTGATGCCGAAAATGTGAGCTACTTCCACAAACCAGACAGGAAGAAATGTGGATTTTCCTATGATGGTATCCATTATTTGCTTAGAAAGGAGCCATGACTATCCAAAGTATGTTGAGATTTCCGCATTCCCCATCCTTCTGGAAATTACTAATTTTGCTGTGAAAATCATTAATTTGATTAGACTACTGTTCCTTGATTCTGTACTCTCAGTTAAAAAAAAAGGATATTAACCTCTTTATTCCAACAATAAGCATCAGGCTCAAAATTCTACTTCCAATAAGACAGAATATCTTATTCCAAGTTTCTAGTGACATTGTTTCACAAAACTGGAGTGGCTATTGAAATGCTTGGCTTGGTTGTTTCCAGATGGACTTCTTCTAGGATGGCACTTACAATAAACCCTTAGTAGATAATCAACATACAGGAAGAAGTAATTCTTTCTGGTCAACAAGACTCAAAGCATGGAGGAATTTTTATCCTAGCCTTAGTATCTTAAATTTGTAAAGTTAATGCTGCTTTGCCAGAGAAATCTATCAGAAAAATATAAGGCAGAAGTCAGGTCACCATGTTCTATATCCTTACAATTTCTGAGTTTTCTTCAGACGTGATTCTAGATAAGAGTGCATTACCATGGTCTACTTGGAAGGTTACGGTTAGGGTTGGATAACAGTGGCCCAGTCCAATCTCTGAGTCAGAATTTATTTTAATAAATAATAATAAATTTAATTAACTATTTTAATATCAATAACTGTTTCAGTATGGAGCTCTTGAGCATAATGGCATTTACTACATTTAGTAAAACATAGCTTCCCTTCCTCTCCAATAAGTATGAATGCAAACATTAATTCTCTTTTTGCTAACTATCCCAGAACCAGGGTGAGCATTTCAAAGGGCGAGGGAGTGGAGAAAAGGGAAAGCCGAGGAAAAATCATAAGCACAGTCGCAGTTCTGTGAGTTCCCAGTTAGTGACTGAGTTGCTGGTCCCAGTTGTGATTGCTAAGTGAGGACTACCTGCACATCTGTAGATTGCATTTGTTCACTATTTTTTTAAGAGAACAAACTCAAGCCAAGGGCATGTATGCACATTGTTCTTCATTTAACCCAGTGTTTCCCAAACTTGACAATTTTAAGGCATGTTGAAGTCCACATGCCTTAAAATAGTCAAGGTTGGGAAACACTGATTTAACCCATTTGAACATCTGGCCTCTCTTTTTCAATATAGGGCTCTAATCAGGGTTGGAGGAACCTAGGCCGGGGTTTTTTTTGCTATCATATGAATTTAAGGATACTGTACAATGGTTTGCGCATCCAAGAAATAAAATTTAATCTGGGAAATTTAAATATTCTTCTCTGACACCTGTAGATTCATGAATGAAACATGAGGAGCAACATTTTCTCAAATAGTAGCCTCCAAAGACATCAGTATTATACCTGAAAGGTATAACTATCCACAGAATGTATTGATTTTAGCACAGAAGATTCATATTTATTAGTAAATACTAGCATATAACATGCTAATATATCATCTAACTTATACTTTTGTCTGTATATGATCTAAATCTCAGTAGTCGTTATAATTATTATTATTAAATGGCTAGTTTGAATGTATGTTGTTAATGGTGTAGAGGAGGTAGGGGTTATTATTTTATTATTTTTCTTCTTGTTATTTTTTATTCTTTTTATACGGTGTCTTATATCTTATATTTTTTATTCTTTTTACATGGTGTCTTATATTTTTCTTGTTATTTTTTATTCTTTTTATATGGTGTCTTACCTGGAATAGGCGGCAATATAAAATTTCTAAATAAAATAAATAAAAATAGAATAAATTCTTGCTAAACACAATAAAGGAAAGAAGAAGCTGTATTTTCCCATGCCTCTTAATAAAAAGGGATCAGTAATCATCCAGTGATCACTTTGCTTTTAGGGAAACGTAAATTACTATAATCCATGTTTTTAAATCCTAAATAAAATAAAATGTTGAAACAATAAAAATAAATACTGCATTGCCAATACATTTTTCAAACATTTCTCTATAGAAAAATTGAATTCACCCTAACATTTTATAATGACAAAATTTACCAATAATTCTCATATAATACAAATAGGTTCTGTTTGATCAAATCTACCAAATTGTATTTTGGATTAGTTAGCAAGAATGCAACATATTTTAACATCTGTATTCATTAATGATATAGTCAATAGAATTAATTCAATAAAATATTATTTCATGTCAATTGGACTTCTCCATTCTTTTAGAAAGAAACTGACAAATTTACCTAATCACTGGAGATATGGTGCTCAAAATTCAACATCGGTTATATGAAGTAGTGAAATGTTTTGCTGGCCCTTTTTGATAGAAGCTATTTCATGTAATTATTATATTCTAGAAAATACATTGCTTTTTTTTGGAAGCTCTTTTTTTTAATTATATACTATCAGTTTGGAAAGTAACAGGATGATTTCAGAAATGGATATTGTAAAAAGACCCCCATAACTCCAGTATTACATGAGACATTCTCCATCCATTTAAAAAAATATTTTTCTTTCTCTATTTGAACAATTTCATCATGAGACTATTAGAAATGTACCCCACATTTATTAATTTATATGTTAAACTTCTTATTTTTCTTAAGTGTATTAAAATAAAATGCTCATATAGTATGACATTTAAGTCTAATCTTTATTAAATTAAAAGAAAAAATCATTTTGTGATGTCTTTCCTCTTATAGCATCTTCTCTGTTTTTCAAATCTCAAAATGTCTTAGAGTGGGATGGTCTCTCTCATTAAAATTTTCTTTATTGGTTATTTTACTCCTGTTTTCCACATATGGCATACATTATTTAATGTTCCGCTTTGTAAACTTTCATTTTTTGAACCCATGACATACTGTGTTTTTTATATCATGCAGGTTCTTCTTCTTTTACTAATCTTATTAGTATAATCTCAGTGGTGGGATTCAGCCAGTCCGCACCATTTTGGCAGAACTGGTAGATAATTTTTTGTTTCCCAGGCCCAGAATGGACTTCCGGAAGCAGCATCCACACAGAGAACCAGTTGTTCATATATTTGAATCCCACCATTGTATAAACTGCTCAATCTATTTTATTTACACCAGCCACCTTTAAATAAAAGCCATAGATTAACAATCCAACTTTGGAACTATTGGAGTTCTCTAATTCATAAAAACTGTTACTGTACAACATCTTTAGCTGTATACAACTTGTCCTCCTCAGAATCTTCTCTGGTGCTGTTTTACTCGATCTCTAATGTCGGCATAGCATACAATCTGAATACTAACCTACTTGCTGCCCTTCCTCCTCCCATGACAGCTTTTCTGGGAATCTAAACTAATCTCTACTTTCATTTCTTATTGCAATATGAGGTAATAGTAATAGTAGTAAAGTTGGAAGGGACCTTGGAGGTCATCTAGTCCAACCCCCTGCTCGGGCAGGAAACCCTACACCATTTCGGACAAATGGCTGTCCAGTCTCTTCTTAAAAACTTCCAGTGTTGGAGCATTTACTGCTTCTGGAGGCAGCTGTTCCACTGATTAATTGTTCTCACTGTCAGGAAGTTTCTCCTTAGTTCTAGGTTGCTTCTCTCCTTGATTAGTTTCCACCCGTTGCTTCTTGTCCTGCCTTCAGGTGCTTTGGAAAATAGCTTAATTCCCTCTTCTTTATGGCAGCCCCTGAGATATTGGAATACTGCTATCATGTCCCCCCTTGTCCTTCTCTTCGTTAAACTAGACATACCCAATTCTCGCAACCGTTCCTTATATGTTTTAGCCTCCAGTCCCCTAATCATCTTTGTTGCTCTTCTCTGTACTCTTTCTAGAGTCTCAACATCTTTTTTACATCGTGGTGACCAAAACTGGATGCAGTATTCCAAGTGTGGCCTTACCAAGGCATTGAAGAGTGGTATTAATACTTCACGTGATCTTGATTCTATCCCTCTGTTAATGCAGCCTAGCACTGTGTTGGCCTTTTTGGCAGCTGCAGCACACTGCTGGCTCATATTTAGTGATTGTCTACTAGGACTCCGAGGTCCCTCTCACAGTTACTACTATTGAGCATGGTGCCACCTATGCTGTACTTGTGCATTTGGTTTTTCTTGCCTAAATGTAGAACCTTGCTTTTTTCACCATTGAATTTCATTTTGTTAGTTAGTGCCCCAGTTCAAGTCTGTCCAGATCCTTCTGTATCTGAAGCCTGTCTTCTGGAGTGTTGGCTATTCCTGCCAGCTTGGTGTCATCTGCAAATTTGATGAGTTCCCCATCTATCCCTTCATCCAAATCGTTGATGAAGATGTTGAAGAGTACTGGGCCCAGAACAGAGCCCTGGGGCACCCCACTACACACTTCCCTCCATATAGATGCAGTTCCATTGAGGACCACTCGCTGAGTACGGCCGGTCAGCCAGCTACGGATCCATCTGGTGGTGGTTCTGTCTACCCCACATTTTTCTATCTTGTCAAGTAGTAGGTTGTGATCTACTTTATCAAATGCCTTACTGAAGTCCAAGTAAATTATGTCCACAGCATTCCTCTGATCCACTAATTTTGTCACTTGGTCAAAGAATGCAATAAGATTTGTCTGGCATGATCTATTTTTGACAAACCCATGTTGGCTTTTAGTAATGACTTTGTTTGCCTCTAGGTGTTCGTTGATTCGTTGTTTGATTATCTTTTCCAGGATCTTCCCAGGTATTGAGGTCAGGCTGATAGGTCTGTAATTTCCTGGATCCATTTTTTTTCCTTTTTTGAGGATGGGAACTACATCAGCTCTTTTCCAGTCCTCTGGTAGTTCCCCTGTGTTCCAGGATCTTTGAAAAATATAGTTCAGTGGCTCCGATATCACATCTGCCAGTTCCTTGAGAACTCTGGGGTGTAATCCGTCTGGTCCTGGCGATTTGAACTCATCTAGGCTGGACAGGTGCTCACTAACGATTTTCTTGCCTATCTTAACTT